GGATTTGGCCGAAAAGCATGTGCAAGGAGAAAGTCACCTGCACAGCCGGCGAGCTCCCCCTATTCTGATCAAATAGGAAGGGAAAGTGGACGAACACATGCGGACGGCAACTAGGGGGCCAAAGAAGCGCACGATCGGGAGAAAGTGACCTTCACGGCCAACAAGCACCTGTTCTTCTGTCCGATCAAAATGTTGTAGCTTCCGCTCCAGCAGGCAGGGAACGTCGTCAAAGGGTTCGGTCGAACTGCAATGGAGCCGGAGAGGGATTCAAGAGGGAGAAAGTTCACGTCAGAGCAAGCGAGCTCCCGTTTTGGCTTCCGATCGCAATGTCGTGACTTTCGGTTCGGCAGGAGAAAGTCGTCGAGGGAGCGGGATCGAACAAACCACTGCCGGCGAGCCCCAGTTCTTGCTTCCGATCGAAATGGCGTAACTTCCTATCTGCCAGGAATTGGAAGTCGTCGAAGGTGCTGAGTTGAGCGGCCACACAGGAGTAGGAGAGGGGACCGAATGGAAGAGCTCTACCCAACGGCCGTCACCTCTTCGGCATTTAACCACGAGCGAAAACGTGCGAAGAAGAGACCAGACGCGACGTCAAACGTGCGCGAGATGGCGACGACGTGCGATTCGGACATGTACGGGATTTTGGCATTTTTTTTATATCACATTACAGGTCAACAGCTGGTATGGTTCTGAACAGGACAGATCATCTATGAAATCCATAGATACTTCCTCTCATACTCTATTTGGAAGTTCTATGGGCTGCTTTTTGAAAGACGGTATTTTGAATAGCTAGAACAATGATCATCAGCTCTTCGAACAATGAAATACCTCCCCAAAAGGTACGGGCGCCATTTTTGAATAGCCAGAACAATGGTCATCAGCTCCCTTTCATACACTGACTTCAATCTAGCCCTAGTTAATAGTACTTGACTGAAGTATGCTATAGGTCTGTGGTTTTGCGTCAGCACTGCCCCCAAACCACATCCTAACGCATCAGTCTCCACTACAAAAATTGGGTTGAAGTCCGAAAGAGCTAAAAATGGACCGGTTTAACACAAGACCATACTAACAGCTAAATGATATGGATTAATAGTAAATAGAGAGCCAAAAAAGTATTAGTAGCTATGTAATAAATGTCCCTAGCATCAATACCCCCACCAAGAATTTTTCTCAAGCTATGATCCTGAAAGACAAAATAAGAGGAATGAAAATGTTATGAAATAGTTAATGAATTTCGATGTTATAGTCATTAGATCATTCAGTGATGAGAAATTAAGAAGCATATAGAACCTCTAAAATAAAGAGATTTAGAGGTATAGATAATGCCCTATAACAAATGAGAGAAAGGGAACCATTAAAAGTAATGACAGAAGGTCTAGAGGATAGTAAAGAGATGAAAATAAGTGAAGATCAACTGTCATATGAAAAAAGGGACTTGAATAAAATATCCATGATCTATTAATAAAGACACCTATGATGGATCAAAAGAAGAGACAACGAGAGAGGCAAAGATTGATGTCTCTGATTATTAAGTAGTCAATCATAGTCTTACTGAGAGATTGTAACCAATTCAGAAGAGGAGGCACTAGGAGTGGTAGATAGAGTAGGATTAGATAGGATACATATTGAGTAGTGGAGAGGTAACAAAATTTCTCTTAATGACATTCAATATGATAAATGGTATGGTTGTAATAGGGGCAACAGGAATAGGTATTATGACTACCACCATGGCCACCATTACTCTTTAAACCATGCCCACGACTACCCTTGCCACCTCTGCAGATAACCATCAAAATTTATTGATCGAAAACCAAAGATTGAGAGGTGAAGAGCTAAGTGATGCGAAGAAACCAAGGGAGAACGGTCACAATATTAAGGACTATGGACTCTCTTATTAATGAAGATTTTAAAGCTTGAAGGAAAAGGTGCAAACCAAAGATAATTTAGGAAGAATGAATATTTTTGTTTTGCCTCCATGAAAGGATAGTATTGATGTAACTCATCCAATTTTTTTTATATAATGCCAAAATATTCATGGATCTACATATCATTTTGCTACAGAGAGAATATATCATAGTAAAAAATACAATCAAAAGAAATATTATTCTCTTGAAAAAATGCGAAATAAAGAAAATATCACATCTTAGCTTAATTAGAAAGCTTGACATTTGAGAAAAATGAAGGTTCAAGACTACTGATTACCAATAAGGATAAAATAAACAGAAGTTTGTCTTCTAGAAAATTTGTTGGTATCATTGTTTTTCAGATGAGACGTGTTATGATAAAGAAGTTTATTGTTAGAATCAACATGAAAATAAAAGGCTCTCAACCATAGAAGATAGTACCACTAAATCTGATGGTAGTATTAATTGTGGATGAAAGTTTTATCTTAATATAAAAGTGATAAAAGCCATGACACTTTGGAGAAAGGTATCGAGAATCTAAGAATCATGGTTTTGACAATCGGATTGGACCGGCCAGCTCAATCGTGAACCAGTCATATAGCCGGTTCGGTCCATAAGAAAAATAGGCTCAGCATGGAACTAGTGTGAACTCGCCCAAACAGGCAGTTCAACTGGCAAACTGTTAAACCGGTTCAGGTTTTTTAAGAACCGATCAGTTCAATTGATTTTCTATTTAAAAAATTAAATTAATTTAAATATTAAATGAAACATTAAATTCCATAAATTAATTTAAATATATTATATTTAAAATTATAATAATCTATAATGATCATTTATCAACCAAACAATAACAAAACATACTCACATGGTTCCACCACCCCATACAAGTTACTAATGCAAGCAAAAAAAAGTTATATAAACAAAACAAAACAAACCATTTAAAAGATATAGAATTAAATACTCAATTAAAATGATATACTTCAAAACAAATAAATTATATATTTTTAAAAAATCATTAAATTATTTTTTTATAATGGGAACAATATTACAATGATATAAATTATTGCTAATCTATTTATATATTTAGATAAAAGTTATGACTATAAATTATATTCTAAATTCACAATATAAACTTGCATTTATAAATTATTTATGCTAGATTATTTATAATTAATAAATAGATAAAAATTAATATTTATTAATATATATTCAAACAAAATTAAAAAAAAAAATAAAAAGTAAATTACATGAAAAGGTTATAGTAGCTCCAATTGTTGATAAGATTAGAGAGTTATCTTAGATTGTTTGGACACAAAATGTCGGCCATCCAATGACCCGGTTAGAAGTGTAGATGTATTAGATTTGGCTTATGTTAGAAAGGTAGAGGTATACCTAAAAAACATGGAAAGAAAATTTTAGAAATAACCTTTTTTATTAAAATTAAATGAGAATTAGACTCTTAGCATGACCCAATGGAAAAAAAGTATTCATATAGCTACCCCACGTAAGTGGGATAAAGGCTTAATATTGTTGTTGTTGTATTTTCTTATTTAAGTAATTTTAATATTTATTATGTAATCCGGTTTAATCCTAGTTGAACTTGTGAACCTTGAACCTCACCTTTTTTTTTTATTCGATGTTCCGTCCGATTTTCACATCCTTGCTAAGAATTGTATTCAAAGTCGTGACCAACGGAAGTGCATTCAAATTGGTTCATTGGATTTGAAGTGAGATCATGTGCATGGCGAGCAGCAAGCAACACCATTCATGGGCTCGAGACTAAACATGCACAAGAAGGAGCATCTAGGGTAGCAAGACCATGGACAAATCAATTAGGTAAGCAGTTACAGTTTTCTATGTTGAATAGAAATAAATTTTCAGCAATAGAATTGACTTGAAGGACTTATGAATGCACACAAGAGGATACAAAATGGAAACAAATAATTTGGAATAATACCCACAATTATAACAATATGAATATCTTTCCAATATACTCACCTTTTAATATTAAAGTCATACATAATAAATCAAAACTACTAAATGCACCAACATATGCCAAAAACATGCACAGAAACCATATTTTAATTTTATGGAAATCCACTGTTTGACATGTGCCTTGTCACTTCATATTGCCAAAATCCTATGATGCACTAATGCTTCTCAAAGAGGCATGCAGTGTCCGTCGCATATCCGACACAGATACGCATCTGGCACACCTTCACATGACGCTGAAAACGTGTCTAATTAAAAAAATATTAAATACAAATTCGACACGCGTGTGTCTTAAATATTTTATGAATTTTTTTTATATAATTTCTTATATTTAAATTTTTTGTTTATTTAAAATATAAAAACTAAATTTTTTATTTCCTATCCACAACACCAAATCAATCATCCATACTCAATTCCCCTTTCATTGAATATTTTCATTTTCATTTCTCTTTGGCAGGTTGCGACTTTGATTTCAGAACCATGTCTGATGTCATCTCAACATCGACGTCTAATGTTGTTATAGCATCAACATTTCAAAATCATCTCAACATCAAAGTCTAACATTTTCTTGACATTGATATTCGACGCTAGTAATATTGACACCCACAACTTGAAAGCTCATATTTGACCAACGTCGTCTTAACATTGACGACCAACACCCTCTTGACATCGACGTCCGATACTACATAACATTGATGTCCGACTCTCGACAACATTGTCGTCTCCTCTTTCGATGCTTAATACACAGCATCGACTGATAACTCTCAACATCATAATATTAATCATTTTAAGCACAAATTCTAATTAAATAATTTATTATTTCTAAATTATATTTAATAGTATACTTATTCAAATTTTATACATTTTTTAAGATATAAAAATTAATACCATATCCGTCCTATATTTTAAATAATTGACATGCCCCATGTCTGTTTCATGTCATATATGTATCGCGGTGTCCGTATTTGTGCATCATAGCCAAAATCTGTAACTTAATATAGCATGTCTAAACAGTTTACTTAGCATGTTATCAACTCATATGATTTTCGTGTAATGGTATAATCATCATCACGAAAGCCGGTAAAGTCAGATTAACAGATATACCTTGATATGAACTTTTCTGTCCATTTGCCCTCCTCGACTCCTTTTAGCAGCATTCTGTAAAGTTCGGTAACATAAAGAAGAAGATTTCAAATATTGCTATAAAATTATACAGCAGTACATAGTAACCAAGGAACTGCCAAAGTCAAAAAAAAAAAACTAACTCGTTCTTCTTTGTCTTGAACCGTAGGTCTCCAAAAGCACGGGATACAGATAAGTCACCACAAATTCTGCCATCAACAATCTACAGAAAAAAAAGATGCAACCATAGATCTGTAACTTACACAGTGCAGGAATGAGAATACTCAAAAGAATTTCCAGCGGTCAACCATTTTTTTCTCTTTTTTTGAAATGAACAGATATTAATTTTTTTCATGGCAGGGGAAAAACCATATTATCTCTTCCAAGAGAACATCAAACCTTGAAACAAAGTTAGAAAGTTAAATAAATATTGACGAATACCAAAAAGGTTTAAAGTTCAATCACATTTTAAAGTAGTGCAAGCACGAAGATTTTACAAAAAATTAAATAACACGTGTCAAGGAAATTTTCCATGGCCTGAAGTTGAAAGATGAACCATAATGTTTATTTCAAACAACAAGCAACCAATTAATGGCAAATAACAGATGATGTAATCTTTCCTATTTTTCAAAATATACTTACTAATTTAAGTAACCAAATGAACCACAAGAAGATTGAATTCACTTCTCTGAATTTTCAAATTCTTCTCTCATTTTCAAAGCCCCCATTAATATTCCTCATTTCCTTCTTTAAAACAGTGTGCTAATGCTAGGGCATTCCTTAGAAGTAATTGTTAGAACTTGAACACCAAAATCAGTGAACAAATAGTAAATTTCAGCAAACTAAATAGATTTTATTGATAAGAAAGCAAACACGATCAAACAAGATAAAATGATCCTTTTTTTGAGAGGAGGACCTTCTCTCCCAAACTTTAGAAATCGCTAGAATCCCTCACAAAAACAGTGGACAACAAGAACATACACAAAATCTGCATGAAGAAAAAAATAATACAACAAAAAGGCCTAATATAACTCTCTATTTTTGCCCAGAAACCTAAATTTACTCCAAGTTTTTCCCCCACATTCTCATTTAATAAGTGATCCACCCCTTAAATTCTCCTATGTTTCCAGCCCCCTCCTTTAATTCTCCTCCCTTTCCAACGTCCTCTTTTAATTCCCCTCCATTTCCAACAAGGCAGCCGCCCCCATACCTGGGCCCACATCCTTGACCGCCTAGCCTTCCCGCCCCTGTTCTGAGCCACCCGCCTACTGGGTTGAGCCGGCTAAGTTTTGGGTCGGTTTTAGTGAATGGACCAGGTCAACCAGTCCACAAACGATGCAGTGCATGGCCGAAATATAGTGAGAAGTTTGCAAAAGATGTTACACCAACGTGAGGGTATAATGTTAAATAAGCAAGGGTTCCCACATCATGGATGGATGTGGGCAAAAAAGCTAGTATATTAAAGGAAAATTAGGATAGGAATTTAGAATATAGGTTCTCTTACAAACAAATTAATGGAATTAATAGATATTATGATCATAGGAAGATAAATATTCTATGCATTTAGAAAACTAAATGGGTTGGAGAGAAGGCTAAAGATATTGACAGTTTAGAATTTAAAATATTGTATTAAAGTAGAAGTCATAGTAGAAATGGTGTAAATGTGATTATTGATAAGCGCTTGAAGGATAATGTTATAGAAATTAGTAAAATTTGAGATGAAATTATAGCCTTAAAGATTGTTGTTGATGTTAAAATTACTAAAATTATAAGTACTTATGCTCCACAAGTAGGTTTGGATATATGTTCAAAATTAAAATTTTAAAATGATTTAGAAAAATTAATACAAAAGATACATCTTGAAGAAAAATTTTTATTGAAGGAGATTTAAATAGACATGTTCGGTAGAGAGGTATAAGATTTTAAAAACATTCATAATGTCTATGGGTTTGGAGCGACTAATGAAGGTGGTAGGACCATATTAAATTTTTCTCTAGCTTATAATTTTATAATTGTTAAAACTTTATTTAAGAAATGAGAAGAGCATCTCATCACTAATAAGAATTGATATAGTATAACTCAAATTAAAAATTTTCTTATAAGAAAAATAGATAGTTTGGATTGCAAAGAACGAAAAAATTATTCGGAGTAAAAGTTTATATACTCAACATCACTTATTAGTTTTGGACTTTAAGAAAAAATGAAACAACAACAACAACAACAACATCAAGCCTTTATCCCACTACGTGGGGTCGGCTACCTGAATCCTTTTTCTCCATTGTGTCCTAATAAAAGTCAAATTCTCGTTTAAATCTAATAAAGAAATGTCATTCCTAATATTTTCTAACCAAGTCTATTTAGGTCTATCCCTACCTTTCTTAACATAAGTCAAATCCAATACCTCTACTCTCCTAACCGAATCATCGGAAGGCCGCCGTTTTATGTGACCAAACCATCTGAGGCGACTCTCTCTAATCTTATCTTCTACTGGAGCTACTCCAACCTTTTCACGTATATGCTAATTTCGTATCCTATCTCTAAGGGTAAAGCCACTCATCCACTTGAGCATCCTCATCTCTGCCACACTTAACTTAGTATTATGCTTCTCTTTAACGGCCAACATTCGGCACCATAAAGCATTGCAGGCCTCACTACCATCTTATAGAATTTTCCCTTAAGTTTGAGGAGTACATTTCTATCACATAACAAGCCCGATGCATTCCTCCACTTCAACCATCCAACTTGAATTCTGCTGATAATATCTCCATCTATTTCACCATCACTCTGAACAATAGATCCAAGATATCTAAAACGTGTACTCTTATTAATGACTTAATCGCCCAAAGTCACAATCCCCTCACTATGTATATTACTGCTAAAATTACACTCAATATATTCCATTTTAGATCTACTTAAGTGAAAACCTTTAGACTCTAAGGTTGACCACCATAATTCAGGTTTACCTTCAACTCCCTCTCTAGTCTTATCAACAAGAAAAATATCATCAGCAAAAAGCATACACCAAGGTACATCCTCTTGCAAATGTCTAGTGAGAACATCCATGATTAAAGCAAAAAGATATGGGCTTAATGCTAATCTTTGATGTAACCTAACCAAAATAGGGAAATACTTGGTCAATCAACCTTGTGTTTGAACACAAGTAATAGCTCCTGCATACATATCATTAATGATTTGAATATAAGCATTATTAACTCATTTCTTTTCAAGAACTCTCCATAGCACTTCTCTTGAAACTTTATCATATGCTTTTTCTAAATCAATAAATATCATATGTAGATCCTCCTTATTTTCTCTATATTTCTCCATCAAACCTCTTAATAAATATATGGCTTCCATAGTCAACCTACCCGGCAAGAATCCAAATTGATTTTGAGAAACTTTAGTATCACGCCGCAACCTATTCTCCATAACTCGCTCCCATAGTTTTAAAGTATGACACATTAACTTAACACTGTTGTTGCCAGGTCCCAAGTCCTGGATGAGAAAAGTTGAGGGTTGCGTTAGGTAGTCGACAGCCAGAGTAAAATTTGTCGAACAATAATGACATGAATCCTTTAAGAAGAAATGAAAGAATATAAAAAATAAAGATGCCCTACGATTAGATGGATGCATTTAAAGAACACTAACAAAAAAATTTTAAGAGAAATTCAAAATCTTAATATTTTTAGTGTACATAAGAAAGCTAATATTATATGAAAAAAAAAAAGTAGCAAGTAATATTACCAATGTTGTAAAGGATATGCTTGAAATATCAAAATGAAAATATCCTAATAGTAAAAATAGTTTATAAAATCAAAATGTACAAAAAAAGATCAAAAATAAAAAGCTTTATTATAAAGATTTGCTTAGATGTGAAAACTCAAAAAATTGGGAAAGATATAAAAAACACGCAAGGAGTCTAAGAAAGCAATCGGCGATGCAAAAAATTTGTTTTTATTGATTTATATAATAAATTAGATACTTAGGGGGCGAAAGATATATTTACAAATTAGACAAGCAAAAAGATAGAGTAAGTAAGAATTTAGTTCAAGTGAACTGCATTAAGGGAAGAGATAAAAAAAAATATTATAAGAGAATATTTAACAAAGGTGGATATATTTTGATAAATTTTTCAATAAAATTTATGATAATACGATTGGTTTTAATGACCTTAGCACCGTAAATGAAAGTATAGAGATTTTTATTTTATCGGCATATTAATAAAATCTAAGTTAGGAATATTTTAAAGAAAATGAAGTTGGAAAAGTTGTGGACTTGATGATATTCCAATAGAAGTGTGAAAATGCTTAGAAGGAAGGAATTTCTTGGCTTATAAAATTTTTTAATATTATTTTGAAGAAAAAAAAGATGCTAGATGAGTAGAGGAGTGTATTAATTCCTATTTTTAAAAATAAAGGTGATGCACAGGAGGTGTGAATTATAGAGGAATTAAGTTAATGTGTCATACTTAAAAACTATAAGAGAGTTACTGAGCATAGGTTACGATATGATACTAATGTTTCTTAAAATCAATTTAGATTCATGTTAGATAGGTCTACAAAGGAAGTTATAAATTTATTGAGACGTTTGATGGAGAAGTATAGAGAGAATAAGGATAGCATAGAAAGCTTATGTGATATTTATTGATTTAGAGAAAGCTTATGATAAAGTTCCAAGAAAGGAGCTATGGAGAGTTCTAAAAAAGAAAGTGGTTAATAATACTTATATTCAAGTCATTAAAGAAATATATGTAGAAGCTGTTTCTTGTGTTCAAACACAAGATGGTTTGACCAAGTACTTTCCTATTTCAATTGGATTATGTTAAGGATATGCTTTTAGCCCATATCTTTTTACTTTAGTCATGGATTTCCATACTAGATATTTGAAAGAGAATGTAACCTTGTGTATGTTTTTTTTTTATGATATTTTTCTTGTTGATAAGACTAGAGAGGGAATTAAAGTTGAATTTGAATTATGGAGGTCAACCTTGAGGTTTTCATTTGAGTAGATCTAAAATAAGAATTAATGGAGTATAATTTTAGTCGTAATAGATCTAGTGAGAGCAATGTGATTTTGGGTCATCAAGTCATTAATAAGACTATAAGAGTACACATTTTAGATATCTCAGATCTATTGTCCAAAATGATGGTGAAATAGATAAGGATATTATTAGTAGAATTCAAGTTGTATGGTTGAAGTGGAAGAAATGCATCGAGTCTGTTA